AAAGAAAAGAAATACTGATGAAAAAGGCAAGTTACTTGGCTGATGGGCTCAGGTTAATCGCAGAGACTATCTACTCTCTCCGTACTCTACTGTGACTTGCTGTGGGAAGTCTGGCTACCCTTGGGGAGCTCCTTGTCTGAGGGAGCCTAGCTCAGACCCTAGAGAATAGGCCGTTGCCCCAGGAAGCTCCCTGTGGGTGACCAGTAGCTACCCACTCTTCCTTAGTTTGTTCAGAGTACCAAGGTCCTAAGTCTCTGGGCGAAGGATGTGACAAAATGATCATCTTTCTCCCTTCTCAGCCTGACAGGGTCCCTCTGATTTGATCCAGTTCCTGTCTAAGTTAAGGTTTCTGCCCCTACTTCACCTCAAGGTTGGAGTTAACTTCCCAGTGCAAACAGCAAACACTCTCCAGAAGGCATGCAGGGGGAGCAGCCTAGGTGCTGGAAATGAGATGACTCTCTCCTCATTCCCTTCTCATTTTCTCCTGTCCACTCTGCCCCCCAGCTGCCCTGTCAAACCCTGTTCCTGACAGATGAGGAGAAGTGTCTACTGAGGCAGGAGGGGGTTTCTCTGCCCTCTCACTTGCCTCTAACCAAGGTAACACACTTTCCCTAAGGGTATCCCAATCCAGGAGCTCCCATGGTGTCTAGGAGCCAGCATTCCAGGGGAAGTGTTGGGGAAGTTTAAGGGTCCAGGACTGACAAACCTTGGGACTCTAGGCAGAGGACAGGGTCCTCAAGAAGGTCAGGAGGAAAATCCGTAACAAGCAGTCAGCTCAGGACAGTCGGCGGCGGAAGAAAGAGTACATTGATGGGCTAGAAGTCAGGTATGTTTGGGCTCACATTTCTGACTTCCTATGGACCCCCTTCCTCACCAAGGCAGGTAGGGTAATGGACTCAGATTGCTGAGCCTTGTCCTACCTCTCCATGTTCTCTAGGGTGGCAGCCTGTTCTGCACAGAACCAGGAACTACAGAAAAAAGTCCAAGAGCTGGAGAGGCACAACATGTGAGTGAAAGTACAGCATGTACATCCCATGGAGTGGGAAGGGTGCAGCACACATGGCCACAATTCTTGGGTCCTGGTTCCCAGAAGATACTAACTCTCCTTTCCTCCTTTCTCAGCTCCTTGGTGGCTCAGCTCCGCCAGCTGCAGAAACTCGTTGCTCAAACCTCCAACAAAGCTGCCCAGACCAGTACTTGTGTTTTGGTACTATTAGTCTACTTCCCATCTACCTTCATCTCTACTACCTTCTCCCACCTTCCATCCTAATGCTCTCCTACTCAGCCACATCTATCTTCTCTTCTTTTTTTTGCAGTTTTTGGCCAGGGCCTGGTTTGAACCTGCCACCTCTGGTATATGGGGCTGGTGCCCTATTCCTTGAACCAGGCACTGCCCATTCTCTCTCTTTTTTTTTTTTTTGATAGTCATCCTCAGTATGAGTGCCATGGTGTCACAGCTCATGTCACAGCAACCTCAAACTATTGGGCTCAAGCAATTCTCCTGCCTCAGCCTCCAAAGTAGCTGGGACTACAGGCACCTGCCACGATGCCCAGCTATGTTTTTTTTAGAAATGGAGTCTCACTCCAGCTCAGGCTGGTCTCGAACTCGTGAGCCCAAACAATCCACCCTCAACCTCCCAGAGTGCTGGGATTACAGGTGTGAGCCACCATGCCTGGCCTCACATCTTTCTTCTCCTACCTGATAACCCCAAATGCCCTATTTTCAGGTGGTGCCTGTGGCTCAAAGGAGTGGGACACTGACCCCATATGCCAGAGATGGCAGGTTCAAACCCAGCCCCGGCCAAAAACTGCAAAAACAAAACAAAACAAATGCCCTACTTTCACCCTGCTCTACGCTCCCTTTTTCTATTATCTCCACAGCCCATGTGTTGTCCCCTTGCTTCCTCCCAGATCCTTCTTTTCTCCCTGGCTCTCATCATCCTGCCCAGCTTCAGCCCATTTCAGGGTCTACCAGAAGTTGGGCCTGACGATTACCAGCCTCACAGAGGTGAGCAGTAAGGGCTAGGCAGGACCTCTGGTAAGCAAGCAGGGGCTCTGTTCTCCAAGGTAGTCAAGAAGTGGAAGGGAGGTCCTGTCCTGTCTATGATTCCCCACTCAGGAGAGTACTCTACTACTAACCTTTCTCCTTTCACTTCCCAGTGATTTCCAGAAATATCCTGACCCATCAGGACATAACAGAAAATCTAGACACTCAAATGGTAGAGTCCAGACTAGGAGAGCCACCTGGAGCCAAGGATACAAATGGCTCAACACAGACACTGCTTGAGAATCTCAGAGGAAAGACAGGACCTAGAGGGCACATCAGAACAGTGCTGCATGCAGATGAGATGTGAGCTTGGACAGAGACATCCTGGCTACTTACTGCCTAGTCACAAGGAGGACTCCAGGGCTTCCCAATGGCTCTGTTTCTCCCAGGGATTCCCACTCAGGTAACTCTGCTCTCAGAGGCCAGATCATATCTGCCAATGTGAGAGGGCATCTGGAATACTTTTATGACTGTGATTTTATGTCTTCTTTGGGGATAGGGCTGAGGAAAAACAAGTTTTGACTGAAAAATAAACTTTTTAGCTAAAATTGTATCCCAAAAGTTTCAAATAGGTAGAATAAGGGCAAGAGGTACTTGGTAGAGTGGAGTCTAACGTTGCCACCCTTTTTTCTCTCTGTCCCCATGACTTCCTGCTCCAAATTATACTAGAGAAGGAAACTATTTTACTCTTTTTATTCACTCATTAATGATCTGAAAGAGGAATATAGGAGAAGGGGACACCACCACAAGGCTCCAAACCAAGGGTGCAAATCAGTCCGTCTCACTTTCTCTGTCAGAGACAGGGTCTCTGAGATCCAAGACGAAAGGGTAGAATGTAGCTATATGGACTCGATTTGCTTCCGGACCTTTTCGAGGGCCTTCCTGTCCAACTGTCGCTGACGAATGATGACAAGACAAGCAAAGACCAAGGCCACACCCACGACAGCCCCTTCAAACTTCCAGAATAAGTGTTGCTCCATCAGAGCTGAGCGGCAACTAAGGGCAGAAAGGAACAATTATATCCAGGGAAGACCAGACAGATTGTCCTTCTGATCTCCCTTCTACTTCAGCCTAACCAAGATACATCCAAAAGGAAGTCAGCCTTCTTTTTATTTTTATTTTTTGAGACAGTGTCTCACTTTGTCACCCTCGGTAGAATGTCTTAGCATCATAGCTCACAGCAAATTCAAACTCTTGGGCTCAGTGATCCTCTTGCCTCAGCCTTCTAAGTAGCTGGGACTACAGGAACCCAGCACAAAGCCCAGCTATTTTTAGAGACAGGGTCTTGCTCTTGCTCAGGGTGGTCTTGAACCTGTGAGGTCAGGCAATCTACTTGCCCCGGCCTCCCAGAGTGATTGGATTATAGGTCTGAGCTACCACGCCCAGCTTCTTTTCTTTTTGTTAGACACAGAGATCTCACTCTGTTACCCAGACTGGAGTATAGGTATGCAGTTACAGCTCCCTGCAGCCTTGAATTCCTGGGCTCAGGAGATCCTCCTACTTTAGCCTCTTGAATAGCTGGACTATAGGTATGCAACACCACATCTAGCTAATTAAAAACATTGTTTCTCAGCCACGTACACCTAAGGTGGCGGGTTTGAATCCCCAGCCCGGACCCGCCAAACAACGACGGCTGCAACCAAAAAAATAGCCGGGCGTTGTGGCTGGCGCCTGTGGTCCCAGCTACTTGGGAGGCGGAGGCAGGAGACTCGCTTGAGCCCGGGAGTTGGA